ACCAGATATTTGCCATAGATTAAAATTGTTCACCCTGTGTATGTAAATATGTGCGTGTGTGTATGTCTGTTAATGCGTTTTTGTGCGTATGTATGCTAATTGGCATGAATAGCGATTTTAGGACAAATTTTTCCATACCATTGAATCGCTAATGCTCTTTAAAGGTGAAAATAGGTAGGCACCCATGAAGAAATCGTGAGTAAATAAATTTTAAATTTTATTATAGTCATAAAAGTCGGATATTTGTTTAAGTGGCATTTAATAAAGGTTGGAAAATTTTTTAATAGAAAATATAAATTTCGCTTGATTTTCGCTGAAAATTCATAATGCGAAGTACCTCATTATAAGCATAGATTATTTATTATAATCTTATAAATAAGAAAGTTTTGGTTATATTAGGAAATGAATTCATTTTTCCATTAGATTTTCTTTGTATTGTATATTAAAATTTACGTTTTCGCAGTTTTCTTATAATTAGCGACAATGCGATCGCAATTTTTCTTGATAAATATCTTTAATATCCACTGCTTGCAATTAACAATACCACTCGAAGTGTTATTTGCCATTCTAAAAGCTTGAAAAATTGTATTTACATGAAATATTGTTTGTACATTGTTGTTATAAATTTTTGTTAGATAACGCGCGTGTTTTTGTGTAGTATAATTTAAGAATAACATCTAAGGAAGGCCACGATTAGTCCATAAACGTAATTATTTAGCGCAATGACTCGTTTAAATCAAATTACCGTTTTATTATTGCGCCTATAATAAATATAATACAGTGCGTTTAATTTATTCATTATTGTTTATTGGCCGAGGAAGGAAATATTTTTGTCTATTTGATCCGTTAACTTTTTCTCCCATAATATTTATAAATAACAGCGGTTGTTTTTTAATGTGTTTGCGACGCGGTTATTTGAAAGCTTTTGACGTAAAACGATGATAAACTTACTAATTTTTGAAGTGGTATCAAGAAAAAAACATTTTTTTAGAATAGTAGATACATATCTTTAAAATGGGAATTTTCTCAAAAATGGTGCGAATTATATTAGTAAACAGCATTCTACTGTAAATTTCGGTTAATTCCACCCTATTTGATACCCTACCTGAACTCTTTTACGACATACCCTATTTAGCCCGATCTGGCCCTAATTGTAATACCCTTTTACTTTCTCTAGCGATGTGCCCCTTCCAGTATCTTGAATGTGCGCTGGCAAAATAGTAGGTAGGGAGAAAAAAGCTCATTATACTCTCGACTTTTGTTCATTAAACATACTTTTTCATACAGTACCTGCCAAAAGTTTTGTTCAACCATGAATAGTAGTGCGAGTTGAAAACAAGCGTTAAAGCCTTTAATAGTCTTCAAATATGAATAAACATCTCGTTGATATTTTCAGTAGTAAATGGTACCAATAACAGCACATTTGAGCAATGCAATTGTAGTGGATAAAATGGTCAATTTTTCCGTGCAGTACTGTACGGATTATATGCTCCTCACCGGTTGAGAGTTTAACCGAGAGTTGCCTCATCCTTTTCTGGCCTAGTGCTGTTCTTTTCTACTTTGCGTCGGTCAAACTGAAGGTCATATCACTACAGAAAGTAAACGAAGTATAAGACAAACTGATCTGGTCCTAAATACCAAATGTCCTACTTGAATGCTTTTACCACCGCTCTCTATTAAGGGTGTCTTGGACCCGGGATGGATGCCCTATCTGAGTCACACAAGGCAGCATTATGTGGACCATGTCCAAGGCGTTACATTTCTGATCCAGTCTCAATCAAAATTATATTATCTGAGTCCTATTTGCAATCAGGTATCCCGGTTAAGACCTGAATCACAGTCCTGTCAATTTCCACTCGGTTACTTCCATGCTTTGGGTAATACCAGAATGTCGGAAATAGAAATCTTCATTACAAACCAGATAATATCTAATACCTACGCTAGAACCATTGGTAATTATAACATTATTATATAGTGATTAATTGAAATTAATGATCTGTAATTCTTAGTAGAAAACTCATCTGTTTAATGCGTGTTTATTGGGTGACACAAATAACAGAATAATGGAGAATTTGCGGCTTGCGGTTTTTTCGTTAATTATTTATGCGTGTAGTAATCGTAATCTGCTACTAATCGCTATAATGTAGCAAATGTTATTTGCTAAAATTGCTTAATTTCGTGGATACAATAACAATTTATTGTGCAAATTTATTGCTTCATAAAAATGATGCAACAACAAACTAATAAAGTTTTAATGGTTTAAACGACGTACAATGTACAACTAATACATAATGGTTACACATATACATTATGTATATATACCTATACCTACTACGAAATAATTTTGATTTGTAATAACATTTCGCGTCATGTAATTAACAAAATCTGGTCGAAATGTTATATATATGTAGATAGTCCATCCATATCTTACAATTAGTTGTTTTTGAAAATATTTATGCATCAAGAAAATTAAATTGAATTATGTGGAAGCGTGGAACTGATCTAACAAATAAAAAAAATAAAACCCAAAATTCCACATAAAAAGTTTTGAAAAAATCTGAAACGCGGTTCAATATTCCTAAGTTAGAGATTACAATTTACTTTGCTTCTCTAACTTATTAGAATTGGGTTTATGTCGATGTATTTGTTAAACAAAGTGCTTCTTAATAAGTTACTTATCGCAGAAAAACAAGTATTTTATCATAAAGCAAATAATTCACCTTCCTAACATCCAAACAGTTGAGTTATCGTAATGAGGCAATTTTCCTGGAATCCATGTACCTAAGTATACAATAGTCCAAAATTTTCTGAAACCTTTTTTTAAAAAAGGCACAGGCTATATTCCTTTTATGTGTGAGGCAATGCATTAGGGGCAACAAAAAAAGCTCAGCCTCTCGTACAGATTTGGTTCAGAAATGTATGTTTTTTCGCTGTCAGGTTTCTACTACAGAGACCTGAATCGTCATCACACGAAAATCTAGCGGCCATCTTAAGTGTTGGGGCGTAAATCCCCTTCACGTGTTGCATATAAACGCCCAGATTTATTAGTGCCCGTGTCGCGTGTTCGATGTGATGGCACCTCTACAAAAATAAAGTAAACATTATTTACGATTTACTACATGCCACGCGGTGTGCTCTGTTCGTCCTGATCCTTCGTTAATTGTCTAATTATTCTCTCGGAAGTTTTCATAATCAGCAGCGTGGATTGTTTCATTTTCCTATTTTTCATTATACGTTTTAATTGTCTTTGTGAAGTATTTCAGAAGTTTGTTTCATTTACATTTAAAAGTGTGTAAATGTAGATGAGATATAAATGTACATAGATTAAAAAGACGTAGAAATTTGGGACCTGATCAATTTTTGGTTATTACTTGCGGTAATACTATGGCCTAGTGACGAATATCAAGCTAGCACGACAACGCTATACTTCGTTACTAGTTTGTTACCAAATCCAAAAATTTGTCTCGAAACAGCGACAAATTATGGCATTTCTCTATGCTATTTTTACGTTGAGATATGCAGCAATCAAAGTAGGATTTTGTCTAATTTCCAGTATTTCATGGAGCCACAAATTTTTGGATTTGGTAACAAGCCAGCGACAAATTATGACATTTCTCTATGCTATTTCTTCTTCGAGATACGCTATGTGTAGTGTCTGCTTAATATAAAAGTAGCAGTATTCCATGGAGCGACAAAGTTTTGAATTTGGTAACAAATCAGCAGCGATAAAATATGGGATTAATCTATGTCATTCCTACTTCGCGATTCGCTATGTATAGTGTCAGCTTGATATCGGGATAGATTTTCGTCAGTTTTTCCCGTATTCCAAGGAGCGACAAAGTTTTGAATTTGGTAACATATCAGCAGTGACAAATTATGGGAATTCTCTGTCATTCCTACTTCGAAATTCGTTATGTATAGTGTCAGCTTGATATCAGAGTAGCACTGCGTTTGTTTTCCAGTATTCCATGGAGCGACAAAGTTTTGAATTTGGCAACAAATCAGCAGCGACAAATTATGGAATTTCTCTACGTCATTCCTACTTCGAAATTCGTTATGTATACTGTCAGCTTGATATCGAGGTAGTATTTCGTCTATTTTTCAGTATTCCATGGAGCGACAAAGTTTTGAATTTGGTAACAAATCAGAAGCGACAAATTATGAGATTTCTCTACTCTTTCCTACTGCGAAATTCGTTATGTATAGTGTCAGCTTGATATCGGGGTAACATTTCGTCTATTTTTCAGTGTTCCATGGAGCGACAAAGTTTTGAATTTGGTAACCAGTTAACGACAAATTATAGTGTATTTTTCAAACATTTCAGCTGTTTGTGCTAGATGCTTGATATACAATATAAGAACAATAAGGTCCATTCAGAAAAGAACTTGAACCTTTAAATCCTTTTAGCGCCTTAAAAAGTTACACTGTCAGATAAATTATAATTTCCACACACCTTTATTGTCTTGACCATTATGTAGCTTCTGAACAGGCCAGGACAATAAAAGATCAGATTAATTTTACGCAAAAATATGCTCCTTTTCCTTACTTACTAAAACATGAAAATTAGTTCATTTTAACTGGAAAAATTATAGCGAAAACGATAGAGGTCTTTCAGTTTTTATTGAGGATCTTTTTATATACCCATACTCACGCTCTAATGGAACCAAAGTAAAGCGAAACAATTTTTATATCTTAACATAAATATAAGTGGGTTAAATCCTTCATTACTGATGCAAATCTAAAGTTTACAGCTAAAATTATATGTAGATAATTACTGTTTAATGTTCACGGCTCTAGCAAATGGTCAACAAATGTTTTAGTAAATTATATTTTTAATATCTTTCTTATGTATACAACTTTTAATGTAAAAAAAAAATACGACACAAGCCAATACAATAGGTCGTTTTTTAGAATGTTGATATTTTATTGTTTTGTTTGTCGCAGTATGTTGAACTGTTGTTCTGTTAAAAAGTCGTTGATGGAGGTCTTTTTTGTTACAGATGATTGAAAAAACTTGAACACGTTCCCGAAACAAAAAAAAATGGATGCTGTGATCTATCGGCATCCATGTTGTCGCCGTTCGTCAGTGTTTCTGCTTCTTGTTGCAGCTTTGGCTTATTTGGTGGTAGAATCGGCAGCCACCCCCAACCAGTGCCTCACAGATCGGCCTGGTAAGTTTTTTTTTTATTTTATGAAGTTTTTCGTTCTTTATTCTTTTTTCTACGAATCGTCACGTTTCCTTATATATATATATATGATAGAAAAAAGGAGATCGAAGGTCACGATGTCACGAAATTTAGTTGTTCAAGTTTATTTAACCATTGATGATGGACGTTTTTAATGAAACTAATCCCGATCGGTTTGTTTTATGTTATGTATTATCCTGCAAACAACTGGAGCGAGGCAATTTGTACTTTGCATGCAAATTATGTCGTGTTTTAGTTATTAGCGGGCACAATACACTAGATATTATTTGTCAAGTATGAAATTTAATTTTTTTTTGTGATTCCCGCCATAAAAATACTGGTATGCAAGGGAAGAAAAAGTAGGGAAGGAGCGAACATAAAGATAGGAGACGAAAAATTAGAAAAAGTGCTGATTGTAGATATCTAGGAAGACAGATAAGCCAGGACGGAAGGAGTAGTAGGAATAGAGTAGGCACTTCTATGCTCACGAACGGTTAATTTAGAAATTGGAAAAAGATTGTTAAAGGTATATGTTTGGAGCACGGCATTGTACGGGTGCGAAACATGGACAGTGGGCGCGGCGGAAAAGAAAAGGTTAGAAGCGTTCGAAACGTGGTGTTACATACGAATGATGAGTATACCATGGATAGAGAAGGTTAGAAATGAAGAGGTATTAGAAAGAATAGGAGAACAGAGGACTCTATGGAAGTCAATAAGAAATAGGCGAGATAGGTTGGTAGGACACCTTCTCAGACGTGAAGGTCTAGTCAGAGACATTAGAGGCAGAAACGGAAGTTAGGAGGGGTAGAGGTAGACCTAGATTAGATTACTGTTCTCAAATAGGGTATGGGTTGTTCTAGTTTTAGGGAAATGCGAAGATTAGCTCAGGGTAGGAAAGAGTGGAGGTGCGTGTCCAACCAGTCTTAGGACTGACAACCTTATGATGACGGTGATTCCCACCATGTTTTTGATTGGACCCAAATGACGAAATCTTTACATTTCTGATCCGGACTGATCCTAAATACGCCCCTGATACGTATGTCGATGAAATACATAATTGGAGTCGAACGTTGACTTGGTGTTTTTTCGGTTTTTAATTATCATAAAAAGTGTACGATAATTTAATTAATAATGTGCCGATTATTTATCTATCAGATGTATCTTTAGAGTATCGGTATTATTACCAATAAAATGATGCATTAACGTCGGACGTTTAAAAACAAACAAGATTTTAATTACACGCGTCCTGTGGCATCTAATAAAAAAAATGATTTACACGCTGCTTAATTTTCAGTACGCATATTCCATTACTAAGCAGTTCTTTGAAACTTTCGGAATTATTATATTAATAATGTATGTCTGTCACAGTGATTTCACCTGCCAGAGAATATAAATATAATTCATTATATAAAAACGTTTTTGGATCGTAAAGGCGAGTCACACATTCTTATTTTAGATTAGTTTTATTCAAGTTGTAAGCTTTTTTATTCGGGTTTTTAACAAGCGCTATTTTTTTTGTTTTGTTGCCATAAATATTTCAAGTTTAACTTGTTTATTTTGATTAAAAAGTTGGTCGACGATTTATATATATAATAAATACATCATTATTAAATTGTTTAGTGACGATTGATGTTAATCCGGCAATAATGCTATCTCTTTATTCCTTTTTGAACGAAAAAAGTAGACATTAATCGCTTAAATCTATCAATTTAATTCTTAGTAAAGAATCGAGAAAATTCGGGAAATGTTCGGCAGTCGTATACAGGACGATAGGTTAAAAATTAAGGTTTATGTTAATCCAAAATCGACAAACTTAAAGAATTATAACATCAAAACTACAAAGTAAACTTTGAAGTTTGTTCAGATGTTGTTTTGCAAACTGCTTGTTGTCTGCTTTGCTCTAGATACAATTACATTTCCTGGAAGGAATTTTTAGGACAAATTAAATTGTCAATTTGACCTTACTATTCTATGAATATTTGAAGCAGCGTATAAACAAAAAACGAATCACCGTATCGCTTCAGCAATAATAACGGTTTTGTGATGTTTTGCCAATAGTGTTACTTCTACGTAAACACAGAGGGGTGATCGTTTGTAGTTGGCACAGTTTACACTTTCGCAACTCAAAATTTTATATAATTTTGTTTTAAAAATTTATTATTCGTTTACGTATTTTTTAATAGGAATTTTTTATGGTCTTTAATACATATGTATAAGGTGGCAGCACTCAGGGGTGGTAGAAACGTACTTTCCCGGTCCGTTGTGCGCATCACTGTTGCTAATTACGCCATTGTTTCTAATTGCTGTTATGTATACACTAATAGCGTGTTAATTTCCCATTTCGGAAAATGGGATTCATCAACAACAAATGCCTTCAGATATTTTTTCATATAAATGTTAAGCTAATATAAATCTAATAAATACAATTTCAGCTTTTGAGAGGTTTGTTCAAATTGAGTTAGTTTGGGACAGTTTTGAGAGAAGCAGAATAGACTTGATTAAAATAATATATTATTCATTTTCACAAAGAAATACGTAATATTTAGATTTGGTGAACATTTTGCCTTGCCTGTATAGACGATTCAAACAATTATTACTTACCTACATTCCACAAATAACAAAAAGTAAAGCGCGTATTTTTTTTTTTAATAGTAGTTCTATGTTTAAATTGAATACTTTGTTATGTATTATCTGTTGTCGAACGGTATTTTCGTTTATTCTTGTAGAAGTACATCCTAAAAGGGGCCTCTACTATGAAGGTAAGTCGAGGAACATTACGCTGGAAGTGTCGAGTCGGGTGTCGCACCAACTTATCACCAATGTGTTTCAAATATTTCTAAAGGAAGTCCTGGGCTATCCGAACGTACAGATGGTTAACAAGGAAAACTACGAAGTCGAATCCATACTGTACGGACTTTCTGGGTCACCGGAAGAACTAAATGACACGTACGTTTAAAATGAAAAATTAAGAGAAAACTTTATTTCTTAGGGATGGTTTATAATAAATAACTTATGGGATATTTTTTCACAAATTATCGTCTACCTATTTTTTCACGTAAGGAATTCAAGCATCTTAAATTATTTTATTTTTGAAACGCTATCCTTAAAGGGGTGCTTACTGGGCAACTTTTAGTTTTAAATAAAATTTGGTCTTTATATTTTTTATTTTTTTACCAAAACATATCTTGGAGCACTTAAGTGTGTTGAACTCAAACTTTTGTAGTTTAAAGCAGTGCTAAGAAATTTAAATTTTTCTTTGTTCGAAATTAAAAAAGTTTCTTCCTCGTCCAGGGTGCCGCAAACGATGGTTAATTTGGAGGTTTGGGTAAATTCAAGTTTCGACGTGAACCAAGTGCTAAGTTGGCGACACGTAAAGGAATGTGGTAATGTGGCTCCACCGCTGCGGTTTGGATGGTTTATCCCGTCTGAACTGAGTAATCCCCTTAGACAAATACCTTCGCAACCAAACGGCGAAATACATTGGTCTGTTTTCAAGAAACCGTCTCACGCCTCCGTGTTCGATATCAACAGCGACTTCTTCGAAAAATATATACGGGAATACACTTTCAGGAATAAATCAAACAATGAGTAAGTTTTTCAAAATATTATATTTAAAAAAAATTATGAGTGCCGTTAGCACAGCACAAGGTGGTATTAAGTAAATGAAAGTTAGTATCAGCAATTTCTTATGTTGAAGTGTACGATGTGTTGCATACCTATTTACAAACAGTTCCTTTAAATTTTAATCATTGATTACTATACATCTATTAAAAAAAACATAATGGCCGACATCAGTAACAAAGCGACAACAATTGAAAAAGAATGATGGCTGACAACTGCAACAATTAGAAAAGAATGATGGCCGACACTATGTCATAGTGGAGCAATAAAAATGGCCGGGGCAGAAGGAAGAACTAGTTTTTATAAAAGAAATTGCTGTCAACTAGTTTGAAGTTGTAAAAATTTAAAATACAACAACTGACTAACTTCAGAAGCAAATATCATTCATTACAATGACGTTCATCCATTTGGACTTTATAAGAATGAAAGTTTATAGTTTTTTTTTGACCTTGAACTTGAACTTAAACTTGCCATTAACCGTCATTAAGAATTTCTTAATAACTTATGGTTTATGTTTAAGAAAAAAGAGTTATCATTAAAAGAACTGTACGATATTCAAATTGATGTCAATGAAAACTAATTTGATTAATATAAAAACCTATTTCAGATTTCACTGCAACGACCCAAAGATCTGCATGAATGGTGTACACGTTCCTGACCGTTGTAGAAAAGGCGAGAAATGCGCTTTGCTTCTGGCTCCAGACTACGACAGCACCAGCTTCCTGATCGAGCATATCGAAGACCTAAAAGTGTACGTGAAAGTTGCATGGTTGGGACCACACTTGCAACATGTCCTGGCGCAACTCAAATCAGTCTATAAACGTATAAACACCCGCACCAACAGCATTATCTTCTTGAGTTGGTACCTGAGCGAGATCGTCTCTGACGGCCGGAATTTTCTTGCCGTGTCTTTCGATCGATGCGACGTTCTCGATCCAAAATCGGTCGGTTGCAAGTACGAAATGACGCGACTGGTCAAGTTTACTTGGAGTAAACTCGAGAAACATGCGGAGATTGCAATGCTCGCCATCAATAACTTGAAATTCAACGAGACAGAGTACAAGAGCCTCTTGGACTTGTACAGTTCCCGTCACGATCAACTTTCGATGGCCGAGATCGCGTGCGAATGGATCCGGAAACACAATGACGCGATCGATCTGTGGATCCCCTCGGATCGGGGTAAGAGCGAAATTCACATTGGTGGTATATTTCCTTTGACGGGATCGTCGTACGTGGGTAACGGGATCTTGACAGCGGCCCTAATGGCCCGCGATGCTGTTAACAATAACGCCACAATTTTACGTGATTATCGGCTCAAATTGATCGCAACGAACGGCCAGTGCGAGGCTGACAAGGTGATGAAGGCCTTCATCGACTTCCTCATACAAAATTACGAACATTTGGCAGGTGTTCTTGGACCGGCTTGCTCCGATACGGTCGAGCCCTTGGCCGGAGTGTCGAAGCACTACAGGACACTTGTGATCTCCTACAGTGCCGAAGGCGCCAGTTTTTCCGATCGCGAAAAGTATCCCTACTTTTTTAGAACGATCGGTGAAAACAAGCAGTACAAATACGTCTATTTGCAATTGTTCAAGAAATTTGGTTGGAAACGGGTCGCTGCCCTTACCGAAGATGGACAGAAATACACGGAATACATCTCACAGATGCAGGATATGGTCGAAAAGGAAGGGATTAGTTTCATTACTAATACCAAGTTCCCGAAGGAGAGGGAGTCGTATGCTATGATCAGGGTGAGTTAACTTTCTTTTACATGGGCAGTATTAAGCATATTGTCACGTGTAGGCAACCCAACATACAGCAAGAGGCCTATAGTGGGTTGCCTAAATCTCGCCAGTAACAAAAAAAATTAGATTCTCTAAACCCCAAACCTGACGCCAAATGTCGCGTAATAAAACACCTTTCGCACTATTTACTGACTTATTTAACTATTTACTCGTTAATTAATACCACTATTATTAATTATCTTCTTCACCGTTCTTATTTCACTTGCTATCGCCTCGTAACTAAAACTCGAACTGAATTGACTATCCCAACCTCTCGGCAACTATTTATAGGGTCCCTGGACTTGTTACGGGTTTCCAAAATATAAGATTTGGAGAATCTGGTCTTTTTTATTACTAGCGAGGTTTAGGCAACCCACTATAGAGCCCTTGCTGTATGGTGGGTTATCTACACACTTGCCACTATGATTACTAAATGTTATCCCTGAATAGAATAACAACTTTTTTTAGAATGCTTACAGACCTTTTCCCAATTCCTGTATTAATCGCTATCGCTGAGCATTTACGATAGGTGGTGTCAGTAAGTAAAAAGTGTTTTATATATTTTTTTTCTGGTGTAAATTAATTTCTTTTCAACTTTGTATCCCAGCATTTTTGTTGAAGGTAAAAGTAAAAAACGTTGGCAATTAACTTGCATTCTTTGTTTCGCTTTTAGTACTTGGAAGATTTGAAGCGTAAACGAGCGAGGATCATTATAGCTGACATTTATGACGAGGTTGCAAGATCAGTTATGTGCGATGCATATCATCTGGAAATGACCGCAAAACAGGGGTACGTGTGGTTTCTTCCTTCTTGGTTGAATGCAACTTGGTACAACACAACATACTTTAACGAGATACACAAGGAAAACATCAGCTGCTCCGTAGAAAACATGACCGACGTGAGTAATTATCCAATCCAACATTTTTACAAGCATACAAATGTGCGTTCGTTCCATTTATCTTAATACAGTAGATATGCTTTAGTATAAGCATTGCATTACATGTAAAATCATTGCTTAAAGAAATGTGGTGCCTTAAAAATCAATTTTTCGCCTTTGCTTTTGCGCCATTGCGGTAAATCCCTGAAGTACTTCTAGTACTTCTTCGGTCGTATTAGCTGGAAAGATGTTGCTCATGTTTAGTGTTTTTTTTATCTCCGTTTTGCGGTTTGCAAATCCTAAACTTCTGAGTATATTTTCTTATTATTAGATAAAGCTAAAGACTCTTTACATGTAGTAACTCAGGTTTTATTTATATTTTTTCGTTTCACACTATTGAATATCTACTGTATACATTGATGATGTAATAGGAAAAGGGAATTATATAGATTGTCAAATTAAACTGTCGATTTTGCAATAAACATAATGCTTGTCGTTAAATTTTATTTTTATCATCAACTTTAAGCACGGCTCAGTTTTGTTGTAAAACATGTTTTGTTAATGCTATCATGTAGGACCAAAAGTGCGTAAATATCATTATTAAACTGTAACCTTTAGTATTTGAACTTTATTATTGTTTTTTTAGATAATTGCGTATTATTATTTTGTTTCGTCAACTTCGAATTGTAAAATTAAAATTGGTTTGATTTGCTTATCATTTTTTGCTAATAGTAGTAAGCGTACTTTCAAATTATATCACAATTTATTTACATGTTTTAATATTCAATTACTTACCAAGAATAGGAATAATATCCTTAATGAGCTGTAGAAATTATCTACAGGAAGCTCTTTGATAAAATGTTCTTTACAAAAAAGCACACGATAATTAAGGGTTTGGTTTATAGTTAGTTGAAAAGCTCCTTTATTATTCATTAAAAGCATTGATTGATGTTAATTTTGTTGCGTATATATTAATGGTTTATTCTTATTAATTCCAGGCGATAAACGGCTATTTCTCGTTGTCGTCGGCATTTTTTGCTCCCAACGATTCGATAATGCAAGAAAACATTACCGTAGGAGAATGGCGGGAAAGGTACGCAAAAAACTCTTCAATTCTTGGCGCATCGAATTACGCGGGTTTCGCCTACGACGCCGTTTGGGTGTACGCTCTTGCATTGAATAAACTTGTCGAAGACAATCCCATGGCCATTTCCAATTTACATTCTCCAGAGACAACCGAGTAAGTTCGCACTGTTCTTATCTCAAGTGTGTGAGTGTGTGTATTGCTTCATTTACAATATACATAAATATTATCACTCATATTTACACTTTATTGCGGTTTAATTGAATTTCGAGGCAAAGGTTGTCAGTTTTGTTTACGTTAATGCTTGTATTTAATATTATCGTATGAATGTACATATTATTAACATCTTTGTTATTCAATGAAATTATTTTTTTCTCGTAAAAGAAAATAAGGAAGCGTATGATAAGGCAAATGTCAATAAAAATATCACGTCTTCGTAATAAATATTGCTCATTTGTCCCGGCCTTACTGTTGTAACCCATTGCATTGACAAAATTTTTGTTTCTGGATATTTACCTTTGTTTTTATTTCAGGAAATTTGTGGAATTGGTAAAAGCAACCGATTTCTACGGTGTGTCTGGTCGTATAAAATTCCGCGGGGGACCTTCTCGGTTCTCAATTGTAAACATTTGGCAATGGTTGAATCATGAACTGAAACTGGTTGGAACCTTTAGCCCCAACATATCGAACGACAAACCAGAAATATACGGCGGTCAACTGGATATCAAACCAAATTCAATCGTTTGGTTTACTAAAAACAACAGAAAACCCGACGATGGTACTCTGCCCCCGTCTGTATGTGCTCTGAGTGGCGTGGCATATTTTCTTGGGGTGGAGTGTGAAATGGCCATCATCATTTTGAATTTAATTGTCGCAACAATTCTGGTAACTGTACTCATCGCGGCAGTATTTGTTATCAAAAAGCGCTACGACAAAAAGGTCCAAATAACGCAGAGATACATGAAATCGCTAGGAATAGATCTGCTTAGTGCCTCGAATATTGCTGGGCTTGATAAGTGGGAGATAGCCCGTGAATCAGTAGTTATTAATCGAAAACTGGGAGAAGGCGCCTTTGGAACCGTGTACGGAGGTGAAGCAAACTTCCCCGATTCAGGTTGGCTTGCCGTTGCTGTTAAAACCCTTAAAGTCGGTTCTACAACTGAAGAAAAACTCGATTTCCTGTCGGAAGCCGAAGTAATGAAACGTTTCGAACACAAGAACATTGTCAAACTTTTAGGGGTTTGTACAAAAAACGAACCTGTTTACACCGTTATGGAGTTCATGTTGTACGGTGATCTAAAAACGTACCTTTTGGCCCGTCGACATCTCGTTAAAGATAAGATGTCTGATGAATCAGACGAGGTATCTCCGAAAAGACTGACAAGTATGGCACTGGATGTCGCCCGAGGACTTAGTTACCTCGCAGAACTGAAGTACGTCCATAGGGATGTCGCATCCAGGAACTGCCTGGTAAATGCTCAGAGGGTAGTAAAATTGGGCGATTTTGGCATGACCAGACCCATGTTCGAGAACGACTATTATAAATTTAATAGAAAGGGTATGTTACCGGTAAGGTGGATGGCACCCGAGAGTTTGACACTGGGAGTGTTTACTGCTGCATCAGACGTGTGGAGTTACGGAATTTTGCTCTACGAAATCATCACATTTGGGAGCTTTCCCTTTCAAGGGCTGAGCAATAATCAAGTGCTAGAACATGTCAAGGCTGGAAATACATTAACTATACCTCAGGGGATAAAACCACAATTGTAAGTATTACTGTTTATTTCTTATGTTTACTGTTTTTGTAATTTTTACAAGAAGACAATATACTGTTTATTTTGTTAAGTTGTAATGTCATTGTAATTTGCACATATAATTAAAGTACCTAAAACTGATTACATTCTTCATGTAATTTATGATGCTATAAAAACTAAATGAAGTAATAAATTTCACGAATACAATTATTGTTAAGGAATTAACAACACTTTTTTGGATTACTTATATAAGCTAGAGGGTAATTACATTACCACTAAACGTTAAGGTGAATACCCAGTAAAATGTTTTTAGCTATCCATTGGTATTCAATGTTGTTAGATGTTTTTAAATTGTAGGAGTCCTAAGTAAGGTATAAGATACTTTCTATAAAGTTCAACAAACGTTTTCAAATATAGGTGTTATTTTGTTAATTAAATATGTGAATTTATTTTTTTAAAGGGAGGGACTGTTAAAGTCCTGCTGGAACCAAGACAATAAACTTCGGCCCACATCGTCAGAAATAGTCGAATTTCTGGCCAACAATCCTCGCCTACTGATGCCCTGTCTGGACATTCCCCTTTCGTCTGTTCAAATGGAGGATACGGGCCAATTGGAAATGCATCTTCCTGAACAGTTCCGCAAATGTTCGTTGTCTTTGAACAACACATTATCGACTAAGGTGAAGACGAACGGCGACTTGACGGCCACGACGACGCCGTCATCGAAAATAAACGGCCTGCGACACAATAATTCGGACGGGGGCACTGTTTCGATACCTATCGATAAGTGTTGTCTTCGCGAGCCGTTACTGGGACCGAGCAGCCGTTCGGACTCGTTCTTGCGACTTGGTAAATATGTGTCCGTGCAATATAATCGGACGGACTCATCAGTGAGTGAAGGTGACGACCACAACGATTACTGCAATCATAATCCACCGAATGGACATGCGATCACGCAACTGTAAGTCGAATTCTAGTTTGTAGGAACCGTTTGGGTTTTTTTTTTGAGACTGATTGACCGGCGACTTTTCTTTCTTTTTGCTCGTACAAGCGTCCCCCGTTTATAACTGTTCCTCAGTAGTAAATAAAACGATAGATACATGACATTTTTTATTACGCGTGTAAATAGACCGTTATTTAATTAATATACCTCACTCTGATTACAATAATATTGCAGTTTAGGTTTATCTTGAGTCTTTTATTTTTGGTAAAGGGTGATATCAGTGTTTGAAGAGTATTGAGCGTGCAACAGAATATATAAAAAATGTTTTTAAAAAGCATTATGTTAATTGCAGTTCCTATTAAATGGTATGATGATAAAAAAGAAAAAAAAAACAGTTCAATTTCTCTCCCAAACGAAGATATATATCTTGTTGTAAAAATTGACAAATTTATAATATTTTTTGTAAAGGAAAAAAAAGGATAGAATCTCATCGTTGTAATTTATCGTTAACTGATAGTGTAATTTCAAAAATTTGAAGACGAAAAAGAAACTTAAACTGCAACTTTGTGCAACTATANAGAAGTTCGATTTCGGTTCCCAAAAACAATCGACAGGTAGCTATACATGGGTTATTTTTGGGAACTAAAATCGAACATTAGGACAAATTTTTCGTTTAATTCATCAGTAAATGACAACTGATATGTATAATTAATTAATAAATGATAAGAACTAGCTGTGGCTTGCTTTATTTTTATTAAAAAATGATTATTCATGCTTGTTTTTACTTTTTTTTCGACCCACGTATAAGAATGAAAATGGAACGAATCAATTTGAAAATTTTTGCCAAACTGCTCGAGTCGTTCGATTTTCGTTCCTATACGTGGGTCGACCTTGAACGAAAAAAACGTAAAAACAGAATAAATAACCATTTTATTACAAAAATAAAGCAAGCTACAGCTAGTTCTTATCATTTATTAATTAATTAATGACATCAGTTATCATTTACTGATGAATTAAACAAAAAATTTGTCCTGATGTTCGATTTTAGTTCCCAAAAATAACCCATGTATAGCTACCTGTCGATTGTTTTTGGGAACCGAAATCGAACTTCTGCCAATTAGTTTTGTTTAATTCATCGATAAATGATAACTGATGGTATAGATTAACCAATAAATGATATACAGAGCTCCCGCTTGCTTTATTTTTGCAAAAAAATGATTATTTATTGTGTTTTTTACGTTTTTTCGGTCAAAACCGACCCATATATAAGAATGAAAATCGAATTTTTGCAGAAATTTTTTGATTAATTTATCAATAAATGGTATCTGATAACGATGATTATTCAGTAAATGATCTAAATACGATCTCGTTACCCAAACGAAGATATATATCTTGTTGTAAAAATTGACAAATTTATAATATTTTTTGTAAAGGAAAAAAAAGGATAGAATCTCATCGTTGTAATTTATCGTTAACTGATAGTGTAATTTCAAAAATTTGAAGACGAAAAAGAAACTTAAACTGCAACTTTGTGCAACTATAAACTAGTACAACCACTTTCCTATCGACTCTCCTTTGCGGAATTTAAGAAGTAGCATATGTTTAAAGTTAAGGTGTTATACGTTAACCCCTGCAAAATATATTTTGGAAGAAGACTGAAATATACATGTATAAAGTTTGCAATAGTTAGAATTATTATGATTATTGTATTTTTCTGTTTAGTCGTTACTTGTATTATAATGTTGTAGGGTTCGTTTTGCAGACGAATGCAAAAACGATAGACAATGCATTTTTGCTCCTATAAATTTAAGGTTGTCTCTACATTTTGGAGGACAATTGCGTGCAAAAACACTTTAGCGAATGTTATTAGGTTAAATATTTATTGGTATGTAATAATACATGCAGCATTTTGCTAGTTGCTAATTTTTTTTATTTATAAAACAAGAAAGCTGCAGTACGGTTGTTTGTCCTACTGAAAAAGTTATCCCAGCTTTATGTTGCACTGTTTTTGCAAGCAATTAAAGAAAATCGGGATTCTTTTAGTTAAATGCAATGGATCTGTAACAGTCTTCCACTAATATTATATTTTTCGCTGTTATATTTATAGTCTCAAAACTCAGTCGAATTGTACCTTGTTTACTATTCACCAATAAGCAGTATTCAAGAGTTCTGTAGATAAACAAATGCGCGAAATAACAGTTTTGCAAGATATGGCAATTGTAGTAGTCATAACGATTGTATTATTATAGCTTAATAGTATTTAAAATGTATAAGTAAACGTAAGTTACAACAGTTATTTTATATAAGTGCTGAAGTGACCGTTCTTAATTTATTCTGCTCGTGTTTATTATTCATCTATGCATGCAAAATAATTTTGAACATTTATTTTAGCATTTATAGATAAATATAATTGTTATCAAGTCCCTATAATCGTTACTATTAGGTAAAAAAGAGCCAAAAATATTTTTGTACCACTTGCCAGTCGGTTTTTTAATACTACGACAATTTACAAGTCATTAAAGTAGTAATGAAAGGAAATTGCTTGTTAAAAAAAAGTATAGGTAGTAAAAGGTTTAACTAGCTTTGCAATTTAATTATACAACACGCAGCGTAAGAAAAATACCGATTGTTACGCTTTCTCCAAAAGATTAACTCATCTAACATAACTGCAAGTATTGAATAACGTTTTTTAAACTTATTAAAAGTAAAGCTATCTGGTAGTCTTAGCAAACAAATGTAATAATAATCATTTATTTAGGTGGTAATTAATAGTGTCGAATGTATGTAGGCAACCCAACATACATATCGACAATAGTTTAAATTAACCGTCAGTAATGAACGAAATATAATGATAAAATACTTCGTTACATTTTCCAAATAATGTCGAATTAAAAGAACAATAATAATGATCCAAAACCATTTGTTAAACAGTTTCTCTTTAAGTAATATATGAGACTGCAATTTTTGGCTCGTTGTATTGGCAAAGATTAGGATAAAATTATAGTAATGATACGATTTGTTTTCTTTTACGAAGTAAAAATTTAGTCATCGATAATTTTCATTTTAATTTAAATAAAAGGAATATTAGGACTCTGTTGTAGTAAATTATAAGAATACTAGTTTTTGTTGCTTTGCTTATCATACACATATACCAAAGATTGTTTTGTTACTTTTACTTTCAAAATTGGAGTTATAAATCGATCAAAAAGGCAAGCAATGAAAACGATGCGTATTACAAGAAATTTTGTGCGACGAAAAAGACTCACATAACCATAGGAACAATCTAGTCATTTTTATAAATAAATGTCAAGAACCAGTGCAAATATTTGATTGGCAACTACAGTACATACCGATGGTATTATGTACAAATAAATATTATTTAACTATTCTTTTTTATGAGCACAAAATATATAAAAAATAAGCTTGCCTGAACCCACCTTCACCTTCTGTATTTGTTTTATATAGAAAAACCATGACTATGTCTGTGTTCCTTATTACATAGTGTAAGTCATTATTTATTAGAATGAGAATTTGTTATTAGCTAGCGTATAGGAAATCGTTAACGATGTAATCTAATTGCTACTGTAGTGCTAATTTTAAGTCATTGTAGTGTAATGTAAACCGATATTTATTATTTAAATTGTATCTGATTCGCGTGTTTGTAGTTTCCAGTTGGTTTGCTTGGATCTATGAATATTGTTTACGCAGCTGAGTGAATGTTGTATGACACAAGCGTACCTGATTGTAACAATTTAACTATTGTTACAACTCTAGATTTAGGCCACACCCAATATTGTCCAAATTTGCAAGACTAAAAACATTTTAATTTGTATACAATAAACTTTTTCTTAGTTTTATTTTGTTTTATTAAATATTCCTCTTTGAATTTTTCGATCAGGCATAAATGTTAAGTGACCTATCTGCTGGTCCAAATGTAAATCCCCAAAAAGGATCTTAATTACTTGCTTTCTGATTTTAAAATAAAATAAGTCATAAAGCCTAAGTAACACTTTTAATAGACCTTCTGTTATCAAATGTGTGAATTGTCCTGATCCCAAATGAATGAAGAAAAACGAGTAGACAAAAGTGTTTAAAAAGCTACATAAATACGACTTGGTCTCAGAAAGGAGGGAGGGGCGGTACCTTTCAACCTCCTGAATCCGCGCTTAGGATGATTCCGTTGACATTGTTAAAGTCGTAAACCAGCCCGCAATAACCTTCAAATACAATATGTTATGAGGTTTTCCGTTTTACTAATTGTTAGCTTGTTACTGCTGTGTAGGTAACAGTTGAACAGTTATGAATAAGTTATTTGCAACTGTGATTGTGCATTTTTTTCTTAAAATACAATATTGAAGTTTCTTTATATCAGTAAAAAATCAAAAATACAGAAATTTGAGCATTTCCAAATAATTTCATTCTTTTTTTTAAGAAGTTTGCAATTATTTTATATACATAGCAGTGACATTGCACACAATTTGTTTAAAAGTTTTAAATTTATTAGGGTTAACATTATTCTAAATTGTACTTTCTACTTTATTGGGTAATTTAAAAAAGCAGCTGAAACAATTTATATTAATGCAAAAATCACCTATTTCGAATCCACAAAGGCACTTCCCCCTATAATTATTATNGCTCAAAACTGAAAATTTTCATAAATTTCAACATTTGTATTAGGAGAGCATAAGTTGCATCGGGTCTTTTTCAAAAAACTTTTGAATTTTCCATTACTTTACGATTTCGATTTTCGTTCATAAACGTGGAGCGACCTTAAACGGAAAAACGTAAAAAACACCATAAATAGACTTTTTGAACAAAAATAAAGCAAGCTACAGCTAGTTCTTATCATTTATTAATTAATTATCGTTATCAGTTGTCATTTACTGATGAATTAAAGAAAAATTTGTCCTAATGTTCGATTTCTGTTCCCGAAAAAAACCCATGTATAGCTACCTGTCGATCGTATTGGGAACCGAAATAGAACTTCGGCCAAATATTTTTGCTTAATTCATCGATAAATGATAACTGATAATATAGATTAACCAATAAATGATATACAGAGCTCCCGCTTGCTTTATTTTTGCAAAAAAGTGATTATTTATTGTGTTTTTTACGTTTTTTCGGTCAAAACCGACTCGTGTATAAGAATGAAAATCGAATTTTTGCAGAAATTTTTTGATTAATTTATCAATAAATGGTATCTGATAACGATGATTATTCAGTAAATGATCTAAATACGATCTCGTTAGCTTTATTTTTTACATTGCTTTTCGCATTACTTTTCTTTTGCTAGCAATGAAATACGATAAATTAGCATTATTTGACAAAAATAATGCAAACAAATGCATAATTAGATTGTGTTTTATTATATTAAAAGAAAAAAGCCAGTATTAATCACACTTTTATGGCCGAAAGCGATCCAAAGACAAGGGTCGTTTATGATTGCAATAAACTCAAAAAAGAAGGCACAACAGCATAATTTGAAGAAAAAAATTAAACAAACGAGTGCGTATTTAGATTGTTTTATGGTAAATTAAGTCAGAAAAGTCAGTAACATTCACATTTTTATTGCTGAAAATGATCTGAAGGAAGTTAAATTTTAGTGAAGACGCCGGACACGGTACGAAATTAAATTTGTAGGTAAACTTCGAAAGTTGAATTTTTGTATTAGGAGAGCATAAGATGCTTGGGAAATCAGACAAATTGCCGCGCAAAATTTAGTGTTATTATTATTGTTTAGACTTTAGTAGCTACTTGGAAGACATCTGTAATACACTTGACACCTGTAAATTTGACTATTGGCCGTGAGATGTCGCCCTAGGTACATGAAATACGAAGGATATCCTATAAGTCTTTAGCTGATATATAAGGAATAATTGGAAAGTTTTAGCGGAAAATACTTAATTTCTGAAAATTTGCTGTATTAATTAGTTGTATAAGTTTTTAATTGTTTCAGCTGAAGTAATTAATTCTCTTCATGCTGTACAAGGGTGAAATAAACGCAGATGGGACGATAAAACAGCATTTTTTTGGCAAAAATTAAACAGAAAGGGGTGTATTCGGTCTATTAATTGCTGAACTAAAGGAAAAGGACAGTAAAAAACAAGCCGTATGCTAAAAGGAAAATATTATTTATTAAATTCATATTTAGTAACATCGGGGAATGAAATGAAAATTAATTTAAGTTAAATACTGTGAGGTAATGAGTAACTTGAAAGTAAAAAAGAGTAGCCGTAATAACAGTGAGCATTAACAAGTTATTTTAATAAAAAAAAAATACATAATAAAATGATCATTAACTTTAATGGTCAGTAAGTGCAGGTAAATAACATCAAAAACTACTATTTAACATAACTATAGTTGATAAATAGTTAAACTGATGATCTATCTATATCATAGATGCAATTAAGTACGCATGCTACCTTAATAGCACTAATTGCTGTTTTTCATTACAAGGGCACAAAATCTAAACCATTTGATTGATTGTGTTCGCTCGTGATGGCAAAACTCAGATACTTTGCAAGTGATGTTTATAATAATGCAATATTGTTATACCTACTTAAAATGTTTAATATACAATATAATCCAAATGTATTTATTTTCAATAAACAATTATATAATATATAATGGAAATTTCGTAATAAATAACACTCCAATACAATAACTGAATAACGTTGAATAAAAAAAATTGACCAAAGTGTAGTCATCAGACGTTGAAATTGAACATAAAAATGTATTTTAATTGTACACTCGTTCCTCTTTGTTATCACACATTAGAAGAGGAGTGAGTTTTGACTAAATGGCGCCAGTTTTGTCTTTACTTAAGAAGAAATAAAATATGCAAATTTATACTTAACATCTTGCATTTTTGAACTTAATTTACCGCAAATGTTTCAAAGACTTAATCAGTGAATACATATCTTCTGAAGAAATAATAAACTCAATAGTATAATTTTTAAAATTTCACTGAGACTGGTCAATTTCTCGTGAAACATTTTTAAAGACTTGACAAGTGTAGAGTTAACATTAAGAAAACTCTTTTTGAAATATTAAAAAGCATTTTTCTTTGTTTACGTTTCTACAATTTTTAATTTCTTGTTCGGTAGTTATTGTCTTTTTAATTCTGCATTAAGTGTGTTATTTTTTTATTTTTTTAAGAAGTGTACACCACTCACATTCACGATGATTACTATTATTAAACTTACTTTTAAACTTGCGTGTATCACAGAGATTAATACAATTCCATCTTATATAAAAAAGATTTGCTACCGTTTATTCTACATCGACGACGATATGAATAATGTATGTATAGTATGAACTTCACAAAATTTAATGAGATATGCAAACGTGTGATAAAAATGCCAAGGGGCATCAATTAAAGGGCTGTTCGTTCATCGTAAACAATCACAGCTTCGTTGTCCACCAACGAATCGGTGTCTTTATGAAGAAACTGACTTCTCGACTTGCTAAGGGCTATTATAGCTGCTTCGTCGTTCCGCATTCGATTCTTCCTTTTTTTGCTAAAATTTACCTTAAAGAAAAAAAAAAATAACTTAATAATATCTTAATAAAATAAAACAAATAGGCGAAGATTCACTTATAAAGTTTAAGTGAAGCTTTTCCTGTTGTAATTATTATTGGACATGTTTCCCAAAAAAAAAGCACCAGTCAAATCTCAGATTTAGATTAAACATCTCATGAATAAGATCAAAAAGTTTATGATAAGTAAGACAAGCAGTTATGGAGTGACGGTTTTATTTAATTAAAATATATAATCAAAGTGACTTAAAAGGCTTCTTCAGGGCTAAAAAATCACAATAAATATGAAGAAACGAATGACCAAAAAAGGAGATTATATAATTACTAAGATTATACAGTCGAAAAATGATTTTTTTGTTGATGTTGCAGAACTTTCACCCTTGGTCCATAATTGCTTATTTATCATTAATAAGTCTGAGATATGGGTCAGAATAAGGTGCTTTTAAGAAAGAATATAATTAATGGGTTTGTAGATCATGCGAAACTAAGAGAAGACTCTGTTCTGCTATTCTGTAAATAAAAAGGGATAGGGAAGGGAAAAAAGTTAAGATAAAAATATTCTCGAATAATATGAGAATAGTTTTTAGTTTTACTTTCCCCTAAAATATTAATTTACCTACCTTAGCATATAAATCGTTGAGGTCATCTTCCGTGGACAATGGTCTAGGCTTCGATCTTACCCAGGCTGGAAGACTTCGAGTTTTTAGAGTAGCTTCCCCTTCTTTTGAGTTAACTTCATCTAAAACTGAACAAGACCGAGTCCTATGAAAATTAGTTTTAATTAAAAAAGAGTTTTAGATCATAAGTACATAAACAGTAAGAGTACAAGGGAAATAATTCACGCTTCTTTTATTAACGATTAATATCCATACTCTATACTAGAAAAAACGAATCGTTTTTTTTTTTTCAATTTTTTTTTTAAATAAAGTCAATAAAGACTGAATCAAGTGAAGTCTATGTAGCATATGATAAATAGTGAACACTAAAAATAACTTAATATTAAGTGAATTATTGATTGTCTGTTATGGCAAGGCAATAAGTACTTACTACTGCTGGAAGCATACTGAGCTCCCTGGGGAGAAAATTCGGATATTTCTGGAATTGGCACCTGTTTAACGTAAAGATCGTTTCCATTCAATGGAACATCGCAAGGCCCAAATTGCACCGGTTGACTTACAGGTCTCTCTCTTCTTGTTGAATGATTTATAGAAGAATTTGGTCGTACCTGAAAAAGGATTTTAATGAAATGATGGAAAAGAGTGCGGGACGATTGGTAATAGGGGTCCTAAAAGCACTCCATAAGAAATTAAACAATGTTAAGTCTTCACCTGAAAATTTGAGCTGCCAGGATTACTGCTACTTCTGGGCACCGGACAAATTCCGGGGCACTGGGTGCATTGCGGTCCCCCCATTGTGCCCCTCGTGCTATAAACCCATTGTCCACCTTGACCAGGAATGGCTGGCACGAGTCTATTGGTGTAGCCCCAACTGCATCCTTTTCCTTCTGCGTAAACAGCCGATTGTGTTGGAAAAGTGGCGTTATTAGGTCCCATGGGTAATTGAGATGATGCTCGATCGTCTTCTGATTTTCGTAGACCTGCAAATAGAATCAAACGTAACTATACAGGTAATAATCTTAATAAATTAGATTTGAAAAATATCTTGGGCATTTCTATATCCTCAGAATTTGAAAAATATCTGAGAGTCAGTATTTTTATTGTAAAGGTACCTCGGTACCTATAACCTCTTTTCAAAAGAAAAGACAGTTTTCTCTTATCTTCAGTGATTAGAGAGAAATTTCAAGGGCAATAGTTTGACTTGATTCCAGTAAGATTATTATTTTGGGAGATTTATTTGGGGGAGCATGTTTTCAGTCATGTGGAAGCTGACATTTATCAAGCACTTAATAAATAGTTAGAAACGAAATTATTAGCAATTGCGTGGGCCTTTTGGTTCTTTAATTCGGACGGAAGCTGTTTTATATTCTACGAGGGTGTTAAGTAGGTATTCAATTTCCAAGTATCTTCAGCATTCATTTGCGATAGATCTGTCGAATAAAGTAAGAAGAAGTAGTAGGAGGAATCGATCTATTTTAGAGGAAATTATTAGTTCGTTCGTAAAACTTTCGATCGGAATTAGCGTTCGAAAGACGTGAACGAGTAATCAACGAATGGATTTATAATTAAACGCGATGATGCAATCTATGGTCAGGAAAACGATTAATTTGTTTTCAATCAAAGCGTTTAGCGGCTATAAGTCAATTTTACCGGCCATCAAAGTCTATTTTCCGGTTTAAGCAGAAAAAAAGTACTTACTCAATGTTCTCTCCAAATCACGGTACGATTTTGGCAGTTTGCTTTTTATGGATTTTGGACATTTCGATTATAATGATTAGAAAAACATTGTACTGAACAATTTAATAAAACACTAGCTGATTCTTTCATAACTTTGCCCAAAGGTCGTCAGGTCGTCCGCGCGGTATTCGCTAACTTTACGATGAGGCAGAAGTAGAACACACATAGTTGAGATTGTTTTATTCATATAGATATTTTAAGTCCAGATGCAAGACAGACCTCACTTTCCACATCAATTAATTAACTAAGCCATTAACTGGCTTTTTATATTTCTTATTGCTGTTTTTAAGAACTCTATTATTCACTCAAAGCTTGCAAATGCATAAGTAACATAAGATGTCGTAAATGTGTACATAGTCGTTAGCAAAACGTTAAAAGACTCTTGGCTACACTTTGATGCTACTTAAAACTCGCTTCACTTGTGAAAATAAAAATGCTAGTAGTAATCCTACGCATATAGAGTAGTCAGTCCACTTGCATTTTATAATACCTACAAAGTACCTACTCCCTCTTTTGTTTTGCCGATTTAGACACCAAAGGGACACAATGCTACAAATGGAAAATTGTATTAAGCAAACATCTTAGATGGAAATGCCCGAGGAATGTAATCATATTTTCATTTTACGACTGGTTCATCTCGTATTTTACCGTTTTTTATAGGGCAACATAAAGTATGAAGTTAATATTAGATACAAAAAGACTTCGCTGCTTTTAGAGTTTCCAGAAAAAAACTAACAAATGTTGAGTTCTGTTTAATGTCATTTTACACTTATTAGATTCTGAGACAGTCTGGCAAAAATAGATTGAAAATTTCATGGCAAGGTGTCGTAAGATGATATGTGCTTTGAAGAAAACCAGTTTTTGGGAAATCGAATGAAATGATTCATAATTTCGAACCCTTTTTAAGCAATTGTTAAATTTGGACTCTCAAAATTTCGCTCTTTACAGTGATTCAAGCCAATTTAAATTTGTAGATGATATATGTTAGGCAGAGTGTCAAAAGATGACATGTGTTTCGACGAAACGTGTTTTTGGAAAATCGAATGAAATGATTCATAATTTCGAATCCTTTTTAAGCAATTTTTCAAATTTAGACGCTCAAAACTTTGTTCTTTACAATGGTTCACATCAATTGAAATTTATAACTAATATAATCGTAGCAAGGTGTAGTAAGATGATAGATTTTTTGACGAAAGTGTGTTTTCAGGAAATCAAAGAAAATGGTATCCTTTTAAAACAGTTTTCAAATTTTGACACTCAAAACTTAGTTCTTTACAGTGGTTCAAGCCAATTTACATTTGTATATCATATAATTACACCAGGGCATAATGAGATGACTTGTCCTTTGATTAAAACGTGTTTTTGGGAAATCGAAGGATATGATTTATAATTTGAAATCGCACCAGAGTGTCATACGACTACATGTCCTTTGACTAAAACGTGCTTTTGGAGAATAGAAGGAAATAATTTATAATTTGGAATCCTTTTTATGCAATTTTCAAATTTAGACGCTTAAAACTTTTCGCTTTACAACGGTTCAAGCCAATTGAAATTTGTATAAGATACAAACGCGGTAGGGTGTAGTAAGATGACAGATCCTGTGACGAGAGGGTGTTTTCGGGAAATCAAAGAAAATGATTTAGTTTCGAACCCTTTTTAAACAGTTTTCATATTTGAACACTCAAAACTTCGTTCTTTACAATGGTTAAAGCCAGTTTACATTTGTATATCATATGATTACAGCAGGGTGTCATAAGATGACATCTCCTTTGACTAAAACGTGTTTTTGGGGAATCGAAGAAAATGATTTATAATTTGGAACCCCTTTTAAGCAATTTTTAAGTTTGGATACTCAAAATTTTATTCTTTATAGTGGTTGAAGCCAATATACATTTGTATATCATACAATCACAACAGGGTGCCATAAGATGACATGTCCTTTGACTAAAAGGTGTTTTTGGGTAATCGAAGTACATGATCCATAGTTTCGTGACATTTTAACTCAATTTTACGTCAGGTTGGACCCCTTACCCCCAATTTGTGTTACGTTAACGCGTGGGCAACCCTTAACAAGCAAAATGTAACTTACAGAAGTGTTTATCTCGCTTGGGCATGATGCAACAACGGTAGGCGATAATGGCAAAAAGTACGCAGACGACCAGGGCAGCCCCACAGAAGACGGCGGCGAGTAGCGGAAGTCGATCACCAGGAAGTCTCCAGCCACCTCCGGCACCTCCACGGGCTGGTGCGGCCGTCGGTTCGTCGGCGGGCCACATGCTAGCCGTCAACGTGACCCAGCGCTGCTGCAGCACCGGACCGCCACCATTGACACCACTGGGGATGTTACCTGCGGGATTGACGAGCACGACGCCTTCTGCTGCTGCTGCGGCCGCGGGATCGTAGTGCAACAACACACCCTCATCCCCTGAAAAGAACAAATTAAAAGAAATAATGAATACAGAATTGGGATTGCCAGATACAAAATTGTGTAGATATTAAAGTACAAAACAGTTTGTTTCTATGTAGGAACACTTACAAAGGGATATTTCAGTATTTATTAAGCGATTTACATATGATTTTCACCGAAAAGGAAGCTTATTACTGTTTAGCATCAAAAGAAAATTGATAATATTTAATGACTACTTTATTTTATGCTTTTTTTATCACAGGGCTGCAGTAATTCAGAAATTAGGGGAATCTAGGGGGAAATTTCGCCCATATTTTTCCCTCTTGGGTACAGGAAATAAATTTGTCTATTTGAATACGTAACAACTCACTATTGTACTGTTTACATTAATGTCGAACAATAATTATTTCGAATATAGTTGTTCAAACATTTCATGTGCAGCACATGTGGTATCTATCATTTGATATCGAACAACGCTATCGCGATTTAGTGCAATATGTGGGTCTGTGATTGCAAAGTGCATGCTGCATAAAGTTATGCAAGATGTGAATGTTGCCATCGGGCATTACTATTTCTCTACTGCATAGATTGCAAAATTGCAAAGGCCCCTGTCGCGTTATCGGTATTAAAACTGCTCGGTGGCGAATTGCAATCATTGTCTGGCATCTTTTGTTAAGAACAGCCACGATGTCGTAACAGTTGCTGTAGAAGTTGTGGATCTATAGATGCATATGAATTCAGCGCGCAAATTTGCGACGGTGTTCAACAACGAGCTTTTTCACGACAACAAAGAAAACGTAATGGGCACAACCTTATCATTTCCATCCGAGAAAAGATCCAGAAAGGTGTTTGAACAAAAAAGGGACGGATAAATTTGAAAAACCGGAATAACAAAAGTCTAAATTTATATAAAGACTAAAAGATGCTATCTACATCTATATAAATATAGTGATTTTATGTAGGCGTTGTACTGAATTATTTGGACTCATCATCATTATAAGGTCGTCAGTCCTAAGATTGGTTGGACACGTACCTCCACTCTTTCCTATCCTGAGCTAATCTTCGATTTTCCCTAAAACTAGAACAACCGACATCCTTAACTATTTGCCAACAGTAATCTAATCTAGGTCTATCTCTTCCCCTCCTAACTCCCGTTTCTGCCTCTAATATGTCTCTGACTAGACCCCTTCATGCCTGAGAAGGTGTCCTACCAACCTATCTGGCCTATTTCTTATTGACTTCCATAGAGTCCTCTTTTCTCCAATTCTTTCTAATACCCCTTCATTTCTAACCTTCTCTATTCACGGTATCCTCATGATTCGCCTATAACACACATTTCGAACGCTTTTAACATTTTCTTTTTCGCCGCGCCCACTGTCCATGCTTCGCACCCGTACAGCGCCGTGCTCCAAACATACAACTTTAACAACCTTTTTCGAATTTCTAAATTAACCGCTCGCGAACATAGAAATGACTTCTTTTTATTGAAGGCGACTCGACCCTGCGCTGACCCTGACTTATCTGACGTCCTAGATGCCTAAAATCAGTCACTTCTTCTAATTTTTCGTCTCCTATCTTAACATTTGCTCTATCCCTTGCACACCAGTTTTTTAGTTTTTTATTTGGACTTATACAGAAAATTTATTAGATATAATTTTTTAAACTTTAAACAACTGTGACTGCATATCTGAAGTTTTATTGTTATCGACAAAAACTTTAAATTAATTTTTACACTCGTGGCGAAAAGGACTTGTGTACGTCACGTTGAAAACGTAAGAAAATGAGACCTGCAAATGAAGAAAAGTGAAAAGGTGAGCCTCTTTGACATTAAAAAAGCTGTGTAATAAAACACAAAAAAACTCAATTCAACTTTTAAAAAAAGGGAAAACGTATAAAGAAAAAACTTCTTTGCTACATTGGGCGTTTAGCTTTTTGTACGAATTTCTACAAAGCTTTATTTAAACCGATCATTGCCTTGGTTGTCTAGACAGTTTGACTACAGTTAAAAGTAAAATTATCTCTTTAATAAGAGAGCCAGTTTGGCACTTTGACCTGGATGACTTACATAATGGATGCGAAGGTTTCAGGTACCAAACTAATTACTATCAACAGGATTTGCTTGTGCCGTTTTCGTTCATTTCTTTTCATTCGTTTCTAGCCAAATTACGACCGATGGCTAGTTTAGTCTGTTAAGTTTTACCATTTTATGAGTATCACAACTCTCTCAATGTATATTAAATTTAAAGTCCAAAGAGAAGTTTTACGGCTTTTGGTTAATTCCGTTGGTCGGCGCAATTTTCTTGTAAATATATCGTCGGTCCTGTTCTAACGCAGAGAATTAAATTGTTTTATGGGAACATTGCCAGGGACCGAAGAACAGGCGACGATAAGCGTTAAAGGATGTCCAACAAAGAACGGTCCTTTAAATTTTTAATCTTAATAATGAAAGCTGCATTATGACGATGCACAATATTTCTTTTGTAATAAAAAACGAAAGTCGCTCGCTTCAACTAGGATGATGAACCCAAGCGGGGCCCTTTTTACATTTTCATCATGGACCCCAACTTTCCCATATCATTATTTATGACTTGCCGTAACGCGAAATCGATAATGACTTGTAACGGCTTATTAAGGACAATATACAGAGTGTTTATCCACAGCGTATTGTTGAAAACGATTACAACAGGGTTTTTTTTAAAAATACTTTATCATTTTAGTAGGTATTTGTTTTGGTATGGAAAATTGAATGAAATTGTTTTGCGTCTAAAAGAAAAAAAAAAGATAAGGACAAGTTGAAATTAATTTTAATTTTGAGCCAAATAAGAAAGCCAATCGGGTAAGAAAAGCATATAATCTATTTATACACAACGGATTATATTTAGCCCCTAAAGAGGACAGAGGCTGAAAGTTGGCAACATCCCAATTAAGAATTAAATTGAATTTTGAGGGAAAACAACATTATTTGTTTAATCAGAATGAAAGGTAATGTGAAATATAGTCTCTACCAGGAATTATGAATCTGCGACTTTTCAGGACTAAATTCGGAAAATGGAAAAATGTGGAAGAAGAAAATGCTTACGTGTTATCAGTCACTAAAGTTTACAATGTCTTAATTCTGCATGAATATTAAGGGTAATGAGAAAGGAATACTAACATGTTAACGTTTGGCTTAAGCAATTTAGGCCAGATTTTAAAGTTTTCATAGCAAAATACAATTTTAAATAACAAAGTATACACTTGTTTTTTCACCTGTTAACCCAAAAAAATACGAAAAGTTAGCAAAGATTTCAGCAGATTTTGGATTTATTAGAAACGCTATACAATTGGTTAGGTCAAAGGTCATTTTCGAAGAGCATATATAAATAACTCTGTGTAGGACACCTTTTGTGACATGAAGGGTTAGTTAGAGACGAATTAAATGTAAAAAAAGGAGTAAACGCGAAGACGAAATATTAAATTCGCAGATGAATAGTCCTAGATAGAATCAGCAAAATGTCAGATAAGTTTACACATAAAACAGACGGACAGGGCACCGTAAATTATAATTTGCATCGCTGTTCCAAACAGTTTTCACATCAATGGGAAAAGTTCGAGCATAAATAACGACGCTGAAGGACTTTGGTTGTGATAATGCGGCAGATAACCGGCGATGTTTATTCTCAAGAATTCACAGTCGAGTTGCTGGAACAGCAAGCTCAAGATAAGCAACATGATGAGTTTGGGAACTTATTGAATTACCTAAATCATACAGACGCGTCGCTTTTAAGCCCAGTAAACTTTTCAACAAAACAACGATATCCTTTATCCTCTAGGTACTGACATAAATAAAAATTCTACGTACACACGCGTATTTCTGCGACAGTTTGTTTTAAGTTTATTCGCGTTACACTTTGTGTGCTTATTGTAGAAAAGTATAATAAATAATTGCGCTTTCAACTTATTTAAAGATATTAGAACGTACAAGCAGTTGTCCTACCGAAAACGCTTTAAATTTAACCACAAACAAAAATGTTCCATATTACAAACTTTGTCACCCCTGTTCACCCCCTCAGGGGCTGAATTTCGAAATATCCTCCCTTATCCTTGTATACATCATAAAGGAAACTTGTGTACAAAATTTCAGCTGTCTAGGTCCCAGCGTTTAGCCGAGGCGTTAATGAGAAAGCTTCATGACTTTTCTTTTTGTACGTATCTAGGTATGGATTGTTTATCAGTGTAATCATTTTAATTTATGTCTAATTGTTATCAGAGCGTCTTTTGTGGAGTTTAGTGACGACATTTCGTTGTTTATTGTATTGTATTTTTTAAAAATTTCCTTGTTTATGTGCATGCGATTGACGACAGAAATAACACAATAAAAATAACTTGGTGATTTTATCACAAACAATAAGGTGATACAACGGGTTTGAAAAAATAAGATAACTGGATGAAACCTGAGAGTAAATTGCTTATTTTATACAAGGCATAAATGTAAATATACGTTTTTGCTGGCAACGAAAATCCGAGGGAGGAAAATAAAATTTTGTCGGGGGAGTAGCGTTCCAGATTATACTCGTAAAGCATGAGTCTCCAATAAACCGGAGCTTTTAAGCGCAAATGAACGTTTAGCGATAAAAAGAGAGGTTTTCAGCAGTGAAACAAAAGACGAGTGGAGCATCTAATAATCCTTTCAAACACCAAACAAACATCTATTTAAATATCTCTACTTTTACTTTTTTTTTTAAAGTGGCGGACGAGGAAATAAAATTGCCACCAAGTAACCGCCTTTGTCTAGCTGGAATTGTCTATTAAGCAGAGACTTCAGTATATACTTTACACATATTCATATTTCAATTTACTGCTGGAATATGTTACTGATGGTACTGTTATGGTGTTCTTTGCTCCATTCTGCAAATGATCGTATCGTTAGTCCTATGTAAACTTATTCATATTTCGATTTCCTACTAATATATGCCACTAGTAGTTTTTAAAGTCCTCTATGGACTATTTTGCCAAAGGCCTTCCTGTTAGTAAGTATA